ATAATCTTTCTCGAACAAAAAGTCAACTTTAAGCCCATTAAAATATTCTCGTGAAAAAATTATCTTTTATGTGATTATTTTTTTAATTAAATATTAATTTGGGATCGGGTTATTACACAAACACTTCTCAATACAATTCAAATCCAAATTTCCTTACAATGAGTCATTTATTCATTGCAATTCATTGAACTACGAATGACTTGATTATTACAAGAGATACGTAGGCATCTTGAGGTTCGACTTAGGGGCAGCCACAAAACCAAATACACACATTCTGTTTCTTTATGATAGAATCAAAAGGCGTTCCCTTGAAGCAATGGATTGTAATTAAGAGATACGGCGTCTCGAATGGTTCAAATCTAAAATAATAAAACCCCGTTATTTATTTAGTGGTGGTGAAATTATGTTGGGAGGTTCACATTTTTCTTCAACACCTCTATAATTATTGGTGGGGTAATCAACGAACTTAGGCGCTTTTAAAAAAAAAAAATAAGTGCTCAGTTGCTAATTGTTGAGTTAATCAGGGTTGTACAGAGAGTTTCCATTGAGGGATCCTTCAAATAAGCTTATTTGAGGGACACCCTTGTAGGGCTCACTCTGTATTATAGTTCACTAATCCAAACCGTCTATTGTGTAGATATTCATTCAAAGATCATCTCTACAAAAAATCAATTTAATCCGATATTATTTGACAGCTCAATTAAATTATTGAAATTTAAGTACTTTCTTGAAGCATCATGTTCATTGATTTTATTGGTCTCAATTAGATGCCTTAATAATTTTCAATTTACATGATTTTTTGCAAGGATGATCTGAATGAAGATGTGAAAAATAGATGATTTGGATCGTTGAACAAAATTTCATAAGAGACCCTAAAAGGTGTCTCTCAAATAAAATTATTTAAAGAATCCCTCAATAAAAGAGGACTGCATGATTATATATATATATATATATATATATATAAATGCTAGAGCTGGGCTTAGATGGGTGGACTAGAGAGTCAAAATGCAAAAGTTTAAAGGGTATATGTAGTAGATAATTGTGATGCATTGTAAATCAGGTCAGATGCAGCCCTCAAGGCAACTTCAACATAATTAAACCTGCCCTTCTTTATAAGATGGTTGGTTATAAGGAATGCTAGCAACCTTCTCTCTAACCTTCTCTTTTGAACCTTCTCCATTTTTTGCTTGATATGTGTCATTCTCCTTAGACTTAAAATATTGTCATTAATATATTATACAAGCTAACTTTTACTTTCCAAGTTTACCCTTATTAAATGCATTCAATTTATCCACACACAAAAAATTTACAACTTTCTTACGATCTTATTAACTTTCTCAACAAAAAATAAATAAATAAAGTCCAAAGGAGAAGGTTAGAAAGAAGGTTACTAACATTCATCTTATAAATTTTTTTATGATCTATTAGTCACCATTGAGCCATTGACCATGAAAATTTGCAATCATCAACCGTGGTGACATCAAAATTGAATGGCTCTCATCAGTTTGAAAAAATAATTAAATTACCTTATCGCAACTTGAATCTAGTCTGAAACTCTGAATGCGCACAGATTTTCATAGACTAATAATGATCTGCTTTCTTTTCATCCCTCTTTCATTTGTATTCATTTGCCTTATTTTAAAATTCTTAAATTGAGAGGTCTCCCTTTTGTTCATGTTCTCTCTCTCTCTTCATGCAAATCTTCTTAGATTCTGAGTACCAACTGGCAGAAGAATCACATCCTGTTGATGCATCCTTTTCAGTTGAAGTAAAATCAATCATACCATCGATTCTACATTTATTTATGAGTGTGTCTTCTCTTGATTTAAATAAAGTGACTACCCCCTTCTGGATTCGGGGTTATTTCAATCATACTCATTGATATATTAGCTTGATGATTTTGAGGTGTAAAAGTTTTTTAATCATTGGAAAAGACATTAGTGTGTGCATTGCAATTATCTTCTTGGCATTGGCCTGCTGTTGGCTTGTAATCCTCTAGAAAAAGCGAAAATAGCTAGTCAACAATTTGATCTACGGAATCTCGATCAATCACAATCTAGACTATTTTATTATAAAAATAAAAGTTTACGCACATATGTCAAATTAAAATTTGTCTCCGATGATAAATTATTTCTTTGAAATAAAGAGCCAAGCATTTTTCAACAAAAACTTACACTCATGAATACACACACGGAAAGAACTATATTAGACGTTTTATTTGACGCATATCATGGAGTTTACTTCACTTAATAATCCACACTTGTCCATAGTGTCAATGTCACAACAATAACTAGCATCTTCTCATGATATTAATAACCTTAATTAAAACATATTGCCTTGCACCTCTAAACTACAAATTCCTAATCAACACATTTGAGTTGTTATTTCCGCCTCCACACACAAAAATAATTGTATATCGCTTTCTATGTATCTTTCTCATCACACGACACGAGCGTTGTGTAATATAAAATATAAAGAAAGGGGTATATACAACATGTAATATAGAAGATTCTTTCTTACACACAAAATAAGATTCCCAATAGGAAACAGTAAATATTGATTTAAGTAGAGGCTAAAGTCATGTGATAGTTAAACCTATATGACCTGAAAATCGTGCATGATGGTACATTGATGGTATAGCAATGAATTTTAGTGAAACTTCATATTCATAAAGTCTTAGATTAAGATTTAACCAGCTAATCCATGATTTGATTTGAATGCAAAATAGACAAGCATAATCATTTTGCTTTGACAAACAAGCAGCAAAGCATACGTTGTTTCTACCTGAGTATTATGCAGTGGTGAAGCTAGAAGCTAATCTGTGGAGGGGCCAGTACTAAAAATGCAAGATTATATAGAGTTATATTTTAACTAATATTGTAATTGATGCTTAAGAAGTAGATAGGGTTTTCATGGAGTTTTGGGGGCATGGCTATGGCAGGCCTGCATGTGGCTCTGCCCCTGGTATTGTGAGGAGTGAACATAAGTACTACGGCATTCTAATAATTATTAATTGTACTCGGTACGAATCTTTCATCAATCATTTTGTAAGTTTAAGAAGATCTCCAATAGTAGTAGTAAATAAAACTCTTCAAATTGAAGTTTGTTAACCTACGGGGCAATTTGAAAAGCCTTATTTGCTACTTGAATAAGCTCCAACAAACTCTTCAATTCAATTAATGCAATATCTTGAAAAAGTACGAAAAATATGAAAACATGTGAAAAATGTCTATGTATTTATTATATGAAAAGCAAAAATGCATGTTTTAACATTTTCAAAGTAAGTTTTGTTTTTCCAAGGTACAATTAAATGTTTAAAGAGCTAAAGTCAATTTACCAGCCTTGAAGAGAGAGAAAGAAATAACAGCTTTAACGACTGAGATTGAAGAGGCTGTTGCACAATGGAAAGAGCCACCGGTTTATCTCTCCATCGAATCATATTAGCCAAAGGTGTGCATTCATGAGCCCATGCTAAAGTTTCAATCAATTCCTACCAAAGAGTTTTTCTGATGTGGCTCACTTATTTTAGAATTTCAAAGTTGTTAAAGTGGTTGTTGGAGATGCTCTTAGAGTAAAAACTGCCCCATCCCATGAAGACAGTGGAATATACAAGGTTGTAGGGTTTTCTATGATCTAGTGGTCTTATTACGTTGAAAGCCAGTGACGAATTCCAGAAATCTTTCTTTATTTGCCACCCTTAAGAAAAATAGGGCTGCTAGAGCATTTCTAATGGGCAGCGTAAATGTTGTGGATCCACCGGTATTCATAGTTTAAAAGTTAAATCTATGTATTGTTAGTGATTGCTTTGATTGGTTTCTCATTAATCCGTCAGCAGTTAGGCTTATCAAGTAAAACCCAAACTAGGTTATCCATAACAAACAGGGTTTCTTATTGGCTATAAATATTTGTGGATCAAAATAGCTAAGTGAGATATATTATGAAGTTGCAGTGTCCTATATATGCACAACTGTACAAACTAGTTTAATGGAGAAAGGGTGAGAGGAAACAAACAAACAGCTCCCTAATCAAAGACGCGAGAAAAAATAAAATAGAAGAAACCAAGTCGTAAAGGTAAAAAAACTGCCTCAATATATATCCCACGAACATGATAGGGAGAGGACCAATTGCTTAGGGTTAAATGTCAGCCAATGCCAAGAAGCACGTGGTGTGGTGGCAGAGGGCAATGCCATGAGCTCCATTCAACTCAGAGGACAGTTTTAGCGCATAGAAATGCCTGACAAAATACATAGACTATGTCCTCACAAAATAATTTGGCATTCTGATTTTATTGAAATCAATCACAGAAAGTGAATCACTATGCGACAACTTTGGCCTGATATTCTTCACGATCAACATTACAATCATTGCTTCATAGCCTCATGTTTTATTTTTTAACTTATTATCGATTTGTGGGTAACAATTAGTGGGGTTTTTTTGCCTTTATACAAGCGATATTAAACGAGAGAAAAATTGAATACGAAACCTCGAATGTAAAGATAATTGCTCGTACTGGAATTACAAGCCCGTTTCATGGATGGGGTTTTTTAGTCCCATTAAATTTTCGAAGCTCCATCTAAGCACTTTATTTATTTATTTAGAACCATGTTTTATTCATTGGAAGGGATAACCCCTTGTATCCGGGGCAAAAAGATGTCGGTTTATGTGTCTCTTATTGGAACATTCAAATTGGTCGATTTTCCCTCTATCTCTTTCAAAACCAAGGACAAAAGACACCAGCAGCCAGCAGGGACTCCTTGTTTGTATCCCCTTTGCATGATTTGAATTAATATATTTGATATAATTGCTTTGGCTCTTGGACAATTTTTTTTATCTTTTATTTGTCATTTTTCCATTGAAATGTATTGTCTAAATTTTTTTGTCTTGGAATGATCCAAGGAATTAGAGTCCCCAAAAACATGGGCAGCCAATTGCAAAATAATTTTACACCAAAAAGAGTATTTACATAGAATTTTTTGGTAGCAAAAGGAAATTTTATTTATCTACCCGACTTTTACGCTGTTGTGATCACTTACATCAACTAATGCATTTAGAGGAGCACAAAGGCGGACAGATGAAAGTGCCTTATTGAAATGCTTTGCCTTTGTGCCAAGGTACTCATTCCAAGTAATTGGCCGGTAGAGAGGAGGCTGACTTGGGCCTAGTAATTTTGATAAGGGTGAGATTTGGACACTGTCTGGGGGTCCGTATAAGTAAGCGATGGATAAACGGTGTCTGCTCCGGTTCACCACTGCCCGATGAAGGACACTTGGGTACAACCCGTTAGATAATATATGGATGAGATCACCGACGTTGACCACGAGAGCACCGGGCAATGGCGGAACCGTGACCCACCCGGTGCCCTCCCGGAGGACTTGCAAGCCACTAGTGTTGTTTTGGTAAAGGATTGTGAGGAGGGTAGAATCCGTATGCGCTGCCAAACCCATGGCCCGATCCGGGTCTGGGCAAGCCGGGTACGAATTCAATTGTAAGGCAGCGGATGCATCTCTGAAGTCACCTTTTGGCCCAGCCCATTTGACATCTTCCATGGATATGCCTAGTGAGCCAAGCATGAGCCACATCAGCCTCCCGGCAAGCCTTTTCATCTCCTTCTCATATTCTTCAATAATATTACTGAAAAAACAAGCAAAATCAAAATCAAAACACTGTTGAATACATAACAAACAAGGATGCTATTATGATGGATGGTTAGCAAAGTAAACATTCATAACAAGTAGATTTTTAATCTTTTGGATATTTCCACAAACCAAATCTTCTCCGTGGGTCCATGGCTCTCATTGTAATCTTTTGCAACTAGCGTTTTGTAAAGAAAATGGGTCTTCTGCCTACATGGCCATTGGCCATAGTACTTTCACCATCCAAAAACCAAAAACCCCAACAATTTTTTTTTATATAAAAAAATAAAAAAAATAAAAAATACTAATAAAATATTAAGAATGAGTTATTGAATTAATGTGATTAAATTAGTACCAGAATTTGTTGTAATCTTGGGGCCAAAGTTGACGAAAATGGTCAAGTGGAGAGCCAAAAATAGTGAAGCCCTCAGACCACATGAGCTTCTGAAAAAACGAAGATATCCGAGCAAAGCCATAGCCGGAAATGCCGTCCGGCGATCGAGCCGCCTTGAGCTTCTGCTGAACCGGCAGAGAGAAAAGGCTTCTGCCAGCAGATTCAATGTTGTCAAGAAGCTTGCTCGGGATGCCATGGTTGGTGACTTGGAAGACACCCCAAGTTCGACATGCATGGCCTGTGAGCTTAAGGGCATTGGGGTCAGAGAGATCAATGACTGGAACAGAGTCTTGCTCTGCCCCAAATGAGCCCGGAGAAGAAGGGTACTGGTCATCGTTTTGGCTCCATGCATAGGAGTCTGGAAGCTCCTGCAATGAGCTGAAATCTGGGTGCTTCAGTTGGAGATTGAGAGGGTGGGATTTGAAGGCATCAGAGAGTCTTGCAGGCATGGTGGTGGTGGTGGTGGAGATATAAGTTCGTTGATCAAAAGGGTTTGTTTTGAATTGGAGAAAATTACAGCAGAGAGAAGATGGGTTTTGTGTTTGTGTGGTTAGAAGAAAATTAAGGGTGTGCTGAGGATTTTTGGAGGAGATGTGGTTAGAAACAAGTATAATGGTGGAAGTACTTGTTGTTTGAAAACATAGGATGGTGATATAAAAGAAAGATAAGGTTTAGGGAGTTTATATAGAGATGGCGGACAAGATAGCGACAACTTGGCCAAGTCCCCCCTCCACCCCAAAACAAAGTTATATCTCGGAAAAGTATATAAAACCAAAAATAAAAATAAAAATTTACATGTATTTTAGAAGGTTCGTGAATTTTAAGTTCATGTATTAATTCCTTTTTGGGGTGTTTTTTTTTGGTCTTCCTTTGTGGACAGTTCATGTAATTGCCTTAATGGATTATTGTGCACTTGTGTGAAATAGGGATAACACAATTTCGCTATTCTCGAGCAATCAAAACATGCAATACGTGATAAATTTTTCATGTGGCAGTCTGTGATTAGTTGAAGATAGCAAAACATTGTTATCCCTACTTCATACAAATTTTTCCGGTTTTTCGGGTGTGAGAGGGTAATGTTTTGGTTTGGAGAGGGCGGTCGTTTTGTTTGAAGGATGCATGTTGAGCTGCGCATTTGGACAAGGGAAAGAACAAAAATGAAAAGGACCATCTTGGCCTCTACAACTATGAAAGTGTAGTGTAAACAATAAAACCGAATGAGGGGATTTTAAGACATCTTAACTTAAAACCCTCTCAAAACCAAAAGGAGTTTCGGTGAAAAGAGGACACTCCCACTCTCCATGTGCCTTTGTCTTGTCCTCAAGTAGAAAAACATCTAAATCAACGAACCTCCTCCCCCAATCTTGGTCCTCATCTCTATTCACTACACAACAGCCCTTTCTTTTGGGTCGTATATGACCAAATTACCCTTTTTGAAATTGATGAAATTTTCTATTGTGTCTATGGTGGCTAGGGGACCCAATATGTTGTGCTTTTAGAATTCTCTTTATCATTAAGGCATTGACAAGTTAAGTGGGAGCTCCTTGATAAGTAGTAGTTATTGTTCAGATGAAACATAACAAATGATATTAATTTTTATCAGTCCCGATCTCTTGGTCCAAGAGATCGAGGCTGTAATTTTTATTTATGATTAAAGTTTAGATTGTACATGTTATGTTTTTGTTTAAAAAATGTTGTCGGCAAGGGTGGAGCCAGAATTCAATGTTTTAGAAATTAACATATACGATAACACTTTGACATGACATAACATTATTAATTAAAAATTACAAAATAATATTATCCCGGTTACAGCTAAGTTTTTCTCCATCCTCCTCTGCCCCTCATTGTGAGTAAGTCATCTTAGTGGCCCTGGTCCCCATCAGCCTTGGGTTGTCAGTTACTCATCTTACAACAGGACAAAGAAGTCTCCATCTGAATTTTTTCCTTGTGGAGGGGCAATTGTGTCTGCTAAAATAAAAATAAAGGTTGAGATGAAATGAGTGGTCTAATGGTTTTTTCACTTATATAATAATTGGTCATTTCCAAGAAAAGTAGTAAAGTTTCTTTTGGTTTTTGCGGTTAGATTTGTAGGTGTTTGTCCTATACGACCCCAATTGGGGCTCCTAAAAATCCATCACCTTTAATGCTAACGAACATTTTTAGAGGTGTGTTCCAAAACATTGCCTAATAGGTCGTTTGGTTTCTTACTTTTCCTACCCCGGACAACAAGTTGGGAAAACTTCTTATTATTTTCTTTTTGTTTTTCTTTTTTGTGGTTGCCCTGGCATGGGCAGTGGCCACACTAATAAATCATGATTTTTTTTTAATTATGATGTCATATATGAGTCATGCACCCCAACCCCATCTGGCCATGTATAATGTCTCATTAGATATGACCATCAATATCATACATGGGACATGTGCTCGTGAGACACCCACAACAACACATGCATATTCTCATTCCACATGCATGTGCAGTTCACGTGCTACAACATGCCTAGGTCGGGTCGTTATACGACGGTTTCCAAATTCTCACATTCACCAACCTAGCTAACCCATCTCACGCCATTTCAATAACAATTGATTCTATTTGCATGTCAAATTTTATCCTCTTTGTGGCTTGTGAATTTTGTATGATATTCGCCACTTAGCAATTTGACACTTATAAAGGACCTTAACTTGCAAATCAATAGTTTCAAGTTCGAATCCTCATAATACATACTCGAGTAGTGTGTGCGTGAGAAACTCTTATCCTTTTAAAATGGTTATAAGAATGTTTACCCAACGGCTATACATCAAATATGTATGTATGTATGCATGCATGTATCTATGTTAGATTGAAACATGCCGGAACAACTTAACTAGCAAGAGTTCTTTTTGTTTTTTTTGGCCTGAAAGTAGCAATAATTCCTTGAGAGTTGAAAATGTGCATACAAACTTCTATTTTTAGCAAAAGGTTGTATGCATGAGAAGTGGTACAAGTACAGTGAGCAGAAGTATTCCAATTTACAACGCTTTTTGTTTTTAATATATATTAGGCTGATGCATCCATCCACCATCGTTAGAATTCTTACAACAGCAGAAAGCTGTAAAATCAACTTTTTGTTGTGTTCCTAGGCTCCTAGTCCTACCTTCTGTACACAAACAGTCTCAAAAGAAGCCAGACGTCTTCTCTGCTTTTTAAATTTCTTTCTTTTTGTACAAAATGGGAGATCGGTCAGATTATATTATATATAATGAGGACATCATTTTCCTCCTATCAATTATGTTTTTTTTAATCACTCTTAATTAGTGTAAATAACAAAGGAAGACTTTCACATTTGTGGTCTATTTACTATTTCGTAATGAAAATCAAAATAAGGAGTTTGAGTTCATATTACGAATTACTTATGTGTTTATTTCATATAAAGGAATGAAAAGGCAAGCGGAGTCTACACAATGCAATTGCAAGGACAATGCAAGCACATGTCATAAGAAAATCTAGGCTCTGATACCATGTTATAATATGAGAGAATATTGTTTGTGAGAATTTTCTGTGCCTAAATCGGGTTTGGGGTCTGTTTCTGGTTTTGTTGATGTATTTTCACGAACTAGGCCATCTAAGAGGCCAATTCTGTGTGGGTTGGTTGAGGAGGAGAAGTGCGTTCGGTGGTGCTACCTTCATGGGTGAGTAAAAAATCGTCATTCCCCATTATGGCGGCCCGGGTTCAAAACAAGAGTCATGGGTTTGTGTCTCTCTGTATGACATGGAGAATGCTAACAACTTTCTCTCTAACCTCCTCCTTTTTTAGCTTGACATGTGTCATTCTCCTTACACTTAAAATAATGTCATTAATATATTATACAAGCTAACATTGCTTTCCAAGTTTACCCTTATTAAATGTATTCAATTTATCCAAAAAAATTCACAACTTTCTTACCATTTTATTAATTTTTTTAACGTCAAATTTTTTTTAAATTTGCTTTACTTCTCATTCATTTATTTTTTCCTTTTTTTTTTTTTTTTTTTTTTTTTTAACATAAAGGGTTTAGATAGAAGAGAAAAAAGTCCTTAACAATACCATCTGGTGTAACTTGACCAGCCAAATATTCATGCACGTATGAGGTCCATAAAATTATAATTTCTCTGTTACATATAGTAGATATGCACCTTAATTAATACAAATATATTAGTAATAAACACAAATAAATCATATATGACAATCTTAACTACCATTGGGGTGCTTACAAATGTGAATGACTTTTTTTTTTTCTCCAAATGAGAAGGTTAGAGAGAAGGTTGCTGACATTCCCTAACATGACATTATATGTATGTAGATTTTCATGTCATGTGTCTCTCTGTATGTTTGGGGTTGTGTGTGGTTTTGTATATGCACAGGTCCTATATATGTACATGTTTGTCTCTAGCTAGAGAGAGAGAGAGAGAGAGAGAGAGAGAGATTCCATAAATTATAATTTCTCTGTTACATATAGTAGATATGCACCTTAATTAATACAAATATATTAGTAATAAACACAAATAAATCACATATGACAATCTTAACTACCATTGGGGTGCTTACAGATGTGAATGAATTTTTTTTTTCTTTCTCCAAAGGAGAAGGTTAAAGAGAAGGTTGCTGGCATTTCCCAACATGGCATTATATGTATGAAGATTCTCATTTCATGTGTCTCTCTGTATGTATGGGGTTGAGTGTGGTTTTGTATGTGCATAGGTCCTATATATGTACATGTTTGTCTCTAACTAGAGAGAGAGAGAGAGACAGAGAGATTTACACCTTACACCTAGCCATAGGTATAGAGTAGGTGAGAATTTTCGTTAAGCTTTCACATTCTCACAAACAACAATTGATTTTAAGACTCCGTTGTCCCCAATTGAGTAAGCAAATTTTGTTCAGTGTTGATGCTTTGTATTTGTATGATTGAAAGCTCCAAGAGTTTGCAAGCAACTATTGAATATGGAGGACTAGATTTGCAACTGCCCCCACACCCTACTCAACTTTTGGCATATAAAATGTATCACGAAAGCAAGATGCTCTTTGCTTCAATCTTTGTTGGGATATAGCATCTTGTTTTTCCATTATTTTTCTGGTCTTGGTTAGTATATTAATTAAAGCTGACATGTTCTCTTTCCATTATTTTGTTAAAGTTTTCATTAAATAATAAAAAGGTATCCTTTTAAGGAGCATCTTTCAACAATCGGTTTGTCTTAATGGAAACCATTTAACCAGTAAGATAAACAATAAGACAACTGAGTGCAATATTTCTTAGTTCTCTCGTGTCGTGTGAGATAAGATGGTTACTTTCTGTGATGATGAGGATTTCAGAGCATCAGACAAACTACTTTTAAAATGGATTTCGGGGCAGAAAAAAACATTATAATTCAATGAGTACACAAAAGAATAATGCTAAGTAGCCGTCACACATTGGTTAACATGTCTCTGATATC